ACTCCCAGTAGCCCATAGCCTAATATCTATCTTTTGCAGGTACTTGTCAACTTTCAACTCTGTAGCTGTCGTAGTTTTATGGGAAAAGTGACACATGTATTTCCAAGTTGCCAAATATATAATATATATACGTATACTCCCTCCCCCCGCCCCCAACCAAACTCACACTAAAAAATAAATGAATAGATTCTAGTTAAAATAACAAAATTCGTGATATTATGGTCATCTCTATATTTGTTGTTGACTCAATGACTTTGTGTAGTTCTGTTGCGAGCCAGGTGACTGGAGAGGTCACTGCTGCATTGTAGGACTTCTGTACATGACGTACTTTTCCTGTCTGTCTGTGTGTCAGTCTGCCTGTTTGCCATTAACACATACACACACACACACACACACACACACACACAGAGAGAGAGAGAGAGAGAGAGAGAGAGAGAGAGAGAGAGAGAGAGAGAGACAAACACACACACACACACATACACACACACACACACACACACACATACACACACACACACACACACACACACACACACACACGAAAATCGCAATATCAAGACGTTACAAATGCTAATCTTAGTTACTGTCTGTCTGTTTGTCGGTATGTCGGTATGTCTGTCTGTCTATCCACGCACACGAAAATCGTAACACCAAGATGTATCATAGGCTAATCTTAGTTACTTAACTCCTCTTGCCCAGTCCGTGCCAGTATTTCAGCAACGTCAGCATGACACTCGTTACCAACACACCATGCTGATTAAATGGTAGCCTTGTACGTTTTTGTTATAGATCTAGATCATATCATAGGGGTTTATAGCACAGGTAGCCTATGCCTCCAATGAGGAACAGAGATACTGTCTGCTAAATATACCCCCTCCCCGCCACTCCTATACATTATGAGTTTGCTAAAAATGTTTTGTAGTCAGAGAAAGGGTGGGGATAAACGGGGACGAAAAGGGGAGGGGGTGGAGGGAAGGGGTACAAAGTCGAGTGTCGTCATACACTCCGGCGATAATCTGAGAAAGCTAGATTCTATAAAAACTGACTGCCGCTTGTTGCCTTGCCAGTTTATATTCGGTTTTTACCTACGCACAGCGCTGCCAAGACCAGGGCTTCAACACGCGCGTGTGGTCGAAACAATATAGGCCTGTACTGTATGGTAGCTACTGAACTAGCTACACTGTGCATTCCATGACGTGTTGCGGACTTGCATCTGTTTGTTAGACGGTGTAATGATGCTCGTCTCAGGTAGGTACTTTATTGTTTTTGTAAAGTGTTTTACGGCGCTCGCAACTGCATAGGTCATATGAGCGCGCGGGACACTCCTAATATTTTCAGTTGGTAGGAAATTTTGAATTTTGCCCGGGTGGCGGCCGAAGCCTACTCTTATCGATTTTAGACCACCAAGGGATCTTTAATGTGCGCAACTTGCACACGGACCCTCCGAGATTTTTCGCCCTTGTCCGAGAAGGCTAGGTGTAGATCTTTCCTACCAGAAGATCAGGGGTGTGGCAGAAAGACAGCAGTAAGGAGGAGCCAAGGAGTAGCAGTAGAAAGGCTGCAGAAAGAGTCAGGAGCCCAGAGGAGGGGGCAAAGGAGGTGAGGGGGTGGGGGCAGAAAGTGGAAATGAAAGCAGACAACAGAACATTGCTAGAGAGCAGGAAAGGAGGTGAAAGGAGACAATTTTAGAGAAGAACATTTTTCGGTCGCTACCCGGATTCGAACCCGGGACCTTTGAATGAGAGGCCAACACCTTAACCTCTTGGCCACGAGAGCCCCCGTAGGTACTTTAACACCACTATTTTTTAAATACTTTACATGTATATTATATTTATTAGATCCATACACTATCGTTAAAAAACGAAAAACAAAAATCACATACATACATGTATAGATCTGTTGTATAGGCGTGCACTTTTATCCAAGCTTTTAAAAGTAGGTCTAAAAATGCAGGCAAATAACATGCTTTACTATAGGCTATAATATTATATTTAGTTAGGCGTTATTATATAAGTTGCGAGGGCTGGTTTCAAATAAACTGGGACCGTAATATAATTATAAGTCTACCACTGACCCACCCCCATTTTTCCACATAAACCCATTATGTTTCCTAATTTGGCTAAAGAACTATTATACGCAAAGAATCTCACGACCGACATTTGCGGTAGGCCTACTACATGTAGCCTACTCGTATTCATTTTTGTTGTTGTTGTTGTAGTTGTTGTTGCTGTGTGTTGTTATTGTTGTTGTTGTTGTTGTTGTTGTTGTTGCTGTAGTTACTGTCATCTCAACATCATCATCATCATACATTTCTCCACTTTCACCGACTTCATAATGTAAAAAAAAGTGACAATAATATCCCAGCGGCCTATTAAATCATGCAAGAGATATTCGCGTGACTAATACACCATCCAAAAATCGTATTTTGCTAAACTGTACCCCCCCCCCCCCCCCCCAAAAAAAAAAAAAAAAAAAAAAAAAAATTAATTTAAAAAAAAAAAAATTAATTTAAAAAAAAAAAATTATAATGATAAAAATCAACCCCTCACGACGCGTAAAAAACATTTTTGATACAATGACATATATGTATTGTTATATGAAGAAAGATGAGGAAGAATAAAAAGAAAGCGCGTAGAACCAGTAAAAGAGTTAAGAAAAAGAAAGCTAGACAGAGAAAAAAATGTGTGTGTGTGCGTGAGTGTGTGTGTGTGTGTGCGTGTGTGTGTGTGTGTGTGTGAGTGCGTGTGTGTGTGTGTGATTGTGTGTGTGTGTGTGTGTG